TTTTTTGCTCTTTTGGAGGATGTCAAAGTTTTATCTTGCCGGTAATTTTACTTTCACCAAACAGTGCTGCTCTGAACATTCTTGTGCAGCTCTGACTATTGGGGAGGTATCTCCAGATTTTGGGATTTCATGTTTGTGAATACTTGTGATCCCAGATTCCTTTGAAATCAGCTTTGCAGTGGTTTGGGGGACCAGGAGGTACCCAGATCCCATGGGAAGCCAGCATTTCTAGAGGACTCCTTTAATGAGTATTTCCTGAGTACTGCCAGAGCTGATTCAGAGGGGAGGAGGGTCAGGTCTCAGGCTGAGTGGTTGAAGGCAGAAGAGAAAGCAAGTTCAAGAACCCCAGTCACAAGTGCAGTGTCTGCAGCCTCCACTTGAGCTCACATAGGCTGATGCTCCGCTCCATAGGCTCGGTGAAAGGGCTCTGCATGTAGAGTGATGCCAGCACTGGCAGAGGCGGTTTGGTTGGAAGACTAGCCCTGGGCTGAGAGCACTAAAGGTTCAAGTCATTTGGCAAAAGGGGTTGCCTCTTTTCTCTCTGAAGCCACTTCGTTCCCCTCCCCAATGACGTAATTCTCAGGTATTTGTATATCTGTCCAGAAGTATACTATGCATATAAAAGGAAATGCACACCTTTTTAAAAATACCCTAAAGGTAGCATACTGTAAATACTGTTATGTACTTGTCACTTAAATTTAGTTCTTAGAGGCTTTTCTGTTATCAATGTTTCCTCCTTTTTTCAAATTTTTATTTATTGTTTTTAGAGAGAGAGGAAGGGAATGAGAGACAGACGTTGATTAGTTGGTCTACCCATCCATGAATTCGCTGCTTGATTCCTGTATGTGCCTTGACTGGGGATGGAACCCCAGTATATCAGAACAGTGCTCTAGCCCTGAGACCGAGAGGTTCTGATTAGTTTTTTTTTAAATCTGCTCCTGTGTACTAGGTTCATGTTGGGGATTGGCTGGTGATGCTCTGAAGTGGTTCAAGGCAACCTTCTAATTGGATTCTTTCCTTAGCTGGGTTATAGCTGACCCAGAAACAAAAGCAAGCCATATGGGGATGGGTGCTGGGGTAGTTCTCCCCAGGGTGTTCCCTGCTACTAGGTTTCTGAAGTACCAGTTCTTGTTAATCATACAGAACTGAATCTGCTGGTTTGGGCTGCCTTTAAAACCTACATTTGCAGGGGCAGACAGTGTCTCAGCTGCCACAGCCCAGGTGGAAGGGGTGGGTACTGACTACTTGGTGGGGAAGGGCCTCTGACAAAGGGGACCTTTTACTCGTGCATCCATGTTTGTTTTGAACTTTGCTTTTTCCTCCTTGTCCATCATATGGAATCCTAGAAATCTTCTCTGGATTTCAGATTTCATCTGTTCCCATTGGAAATTAAGAATCCCTTTCCTGAATGGGGGATAATTGACTTTGGCTTTACATAAGGCATTGGTGGGCCTCTGGGTGGTGTGTGCAGCAAACCCAGCTGGGCTGGCTGTCAAGACCACCTTGTTTGAAGGTGCCTAGAAGTTACTCCAGTGTGGTTATGCTCTTGTCTTCACACTATGGAGAGTTGGTTTATGACGATGGGATAGGAGTGGGGTGATTTGCCCACACTAAGACGGGGCTCCAGGAAGTAGGGCATGGTTTGGCCGGCTCAGGACATGAGTACGAGGTAGTACATGCACCTATGTCTGCACATGCTTCTTCGAGTTGTGGTGTTTATGACTACCCGTGGCCATAGTGCAGGGTGACCAACTGCCTATGCCTGCCCACTGTGGCTCCTGTGCTTTTGGGACTGATGTGGGCACACTTGACCAGAGCAGTGAGAGGTACTGGCCTCGTATGCCTTTCCAGGCTGTATGGGACCTGTGGACACACGTACTAATCTGTGTTACCAAACAACAGGAGGTGGCCTTGCCTACCATGTTTACCTGAGGAACCGGAGGGCATGTTCTCCTCTGCCCCCGGGATGGCTTTGGAAAGGTGTACCTGGGTGCAGGTGGATGCCAGTGGGGCTTGCAGAGACAAGGGCCAGGGGACCTGGGGAGGTGCTCAGTCAGCAGGGGGTAGGGTGAGGCGGGATCTGCCCCACTGATGTGTTCCTGAGGTGGAGTAGTCTGTGCCAGGTGCTATGATTCCACCTGGCATTTTTCTTACTGGGCCTAAAGGTGTTTTTTGTTTGTTTTTTGTTTTTTTATAACTTTTAGGATGGCTACAATCCACTGGGCAGAGAAGGGCCCTGCATGACTGAGGGAGATTTGGGGCCTGGCAAGAACATTCTGTAATCCCAACCTTGATAACGACGTTTTGCTTTGAGTGCTCCAGGTGACTTTGTGGCCAGAAAGCTTCCAACAGTGAGGTAATAGTTAGCAGGACATACGACTGACTAGGAAGTGCCCCCTCTTCAGTTCACAGATCATGAATGATCTGACCTCTCCTCTTCCCTTGTCCTTATCTTTCCCCTCTTCCTCTCTCTTAGCTGATGAACTTGAGAATACAAAGAAAGTCTCTGGGCCAGGATCTCCTGCTAGGGAGCCCATCTGCTCTGGTCCCTGCACACTTTCCTATCTCATGGGACTTCCTCTTAGGTTCCCTTCTTTGCCACCTTTAGGCTCTGTAGTACTGAGTCCTGCCTGGGAGTGATGATTGAAATGACCTCTGTTTTATCTCTGAATTAAAACCAAATGGAGAAAGTCCATAAAGGCCTCCAAAGAGAAAGCCCAACTTTTCCTGTTTCATACACTTCCAGTGGATTCTTACAGAAATGGCTCATTAACACCCTGGAAAGGTGGCCCCGAGCACTCACGTAGTAGCAAGGTGCTTGGCAACATGCTATGGTTAGGAGGCTTCTTGTCTGACCCCAGGGAATGGCTCCTCCCCAGTGCACACAGTTTAATTAGGGTTTTTTATTTAATTAGGAGGCTTCTCCGAGCTTAGCTGAATTATGGTTAACTTTTCAGGATGAAGAGTTCCTGAGTCCCAGGCAGTGTTTTTTGTTAAAGTGGCTCCACCTGTGAGTGGGGACCCATCCCAGAGGATGCTCCACCCACGGCACTTGGTGGCACTACCAGCCCATTACCCACGACAGCTCTCATTCTAATGTGACCACAGGAGAGCATTAGTCATTGTCCAACAAAAGGGAAACCCTGCTCTTAGATTTGCTTATTTGTTTGCTAAAAGCAGCTTTTACTGTGCTGAATCCTTCCTGCTCTCTGATCCCCTGTCCTTTGTCCTTAACGTTTGCTGCTAACAATCCATTTTCCACCACCTTAACATGTAATTGCTTTTATCTTTGAAGGAGGGCTGGGACCACCTTAATCCTGAACACAGGGTCTCAGGGGTGACCTTATTTTCAAAGACTTCACTGGGCCATAATGTGCATGTTTGGTGACCAGGAGGCTCTGGGCCCAGCTCCCCTGTGGTTTTGCTCTAAGTGGCCATGTGGTGTGCATGTGCTGGACCATCTGAACCCCTGGGCCTGGGGCCGGTGAGCATTCAGGGCTGTACTTCCTGTTGGATGGTCAGAGCTTCATGGGTGGGCCATGCGTCCCTGGTGTGTCCCAACTCATGGATCCAGAGGCCCAGGTGGAGGGTTGTGGTCCCAGGTGGAGAAAACAGTAACTACCAGGAGCCAGGTGGGGGGCCAGAGGTTGCTGAAGGAAAGGGGCTGGTTTTCACTGAGGCATGTGACAAAATGGCTCTGCACAGCCTGTATTAATATGGGTTAAGCAACTTAATCCCATCTCAAGGATTGTGTCTAGCAGTGTTCTCAGAGGCTGGGCTAAAGAGGGCTTCTAATCTCACATACCACAAAACTAGGAGAAACAGTGTACATGCTGGACAGCACTTTGGAGTTCAGAAAGGTCTGGACAGGCTGAAACAAGCCAGGTGAAAATGAATAGTTGTGTGCAGGTCTGTGAGAAGGTCTGCTTGTCAGGGGTGTGGGAAGATTCTGCTTTGGATGGGAAGTTTGCATTAGAAAGTCCTCAGACTGAGGAATCTTGAAACTGCCTAAAATGCCCCTTTGGCCCGTGGTCACTGCTGCTGTTTGGCCTTGATGCAGAGCCTAGCCTTTCCGAAGGCTTCATTTTGAGGGTCCTGTCACTCATCCCTGGTACTGGGGGAAAGTCAGGTCAACTCAGCCACTTGAATTGCATCTTTGTGAATAGTGTTTCTTATGAGAGAGAGAGAAGCATTTACTGACAATAAACACAGTTCTGGGCTATAGGGTCAGAATGAGCAGGCATACCTGGGGACCCCATTTGATCTTTATGTCCATTGAGTGTCAGAGTCATGACTGTTCTTGAGATGCCTTTTTCTAATTAAATCAAAGTATTGCCAGCCTGGGGAGGGCCATGTGGGCTTTGTGCAGCATCCTTCTGCAAGGGTCAGAGGAGTTTGGTTCTCATTCACCCAAGACAAAAAATGACCCCGTTTACCTTGTGTTCTGCAAGTCAAGGATGACTGCTTTAGAACCATGCAAAGTGCAATGTGTTTGGTGTTATCTGCCTCAGGGGTCTGTTGGTTTCCATCAGAGTGTCCCACAATTGCCCTGATCAACCAAGAGCAGCTTTCATCCTGCCAACCCTAGGCTTCTGTTCTGGGTGTATTAATGTGATTTGGGGCTGAAATCCTTCTTGTTTCCTTGGAGCCCCTCTGCTAATGCTCAGACCTGCCCGTCCACTGCAGTAGACTAATTGCCAGGCCAAATGCGTATTATAGATTGTCAGCTTCTTAGAGGTCAGGGTACTCCTTTTCCTGCATCTTTTTATATTTATTTTATTCTTTCAGAAAAAGTTCTTTACTGATTATCTTGAATATTGGGCTTTAAGGGAGACAAAAATGAAAAGATCAGTGAGATGTTTTTGTTGGTGAGAGAGCAGGCTGTCTGCGGAGCCTGAGGCCCAGACTCCCCTTCAGGGGGCTTGCCCTCGCATCTCAGCAAAGACATGGAGTCAGTGCTGCCAGCCTAACCTTGTCCTTTTCCCACCCTCCATCCTAAGGGTGAGCTTGTCGGCCACAGACTGTTACATCGTGCATGAGATCTACAATGGGGAGAACGCGCAAGACCAGTTTGAGTATGAGCTGGAGCAGGCCCTGGAAGCCCAGTACAAGTACATCGTGATCGAGCCCACTCGCATCGGTGACGAGACTGCCCGCTGGATCACCGTGGGCAACTGTCTGCACAAGACCACTGTGCTGGCAGGCACTGCTTGTCTCTTCACCCCATTGGCACTGCCCTTAGATTATTCCCACTACATCTCCCTACCCGCTGGTGTGCTGAGCCTGGCCTGCTGTACCCTCTATGGAATCTCCTGGCAGTTTGACCCTTGCTGCAAGTACCAAGTGGAGTACGACGCTTATAAACTGTCCCGCCTGCCCCTGCACACACTCACTTCCTCCACCCCTGTGGTGCTGGTCCGGAAGGATGACTTGCACAGAAAGAGACTGCACAACACGATAGCGCTTGCTGCCCTCGTGTACTGTGTAAAGAAGATCTACGAACTCTATGCTGTATGATTTCAGTTAGAACAGGGAGAGAAGCCAACAACCCAACCCATGGGAGACAACAGAGTATTCAGATTGCACAGTAACATTTTTTTTGCTCCATGAGGCAACGGAGTCCAGGAAGCTGTTTGGGTTAATAGTTGTTATTTAAAAAAAATAACACACATCACAAATGTACCAAGGGTTTTTCCAACTCATCACACTTAAGATGTGGATTTCCGTAACCCACAAGGGAGTCTGAGACTGCAAGTCTGGGCAGTAGAATGTCGATGGAAGCTGAGGGAGTATGAATGCTTGGGGTAGGGGTCTTTAAGGATATTGTTTAACTGTTATCATCCAGAGCCAACCAGAAGCTGTTGACCATTAAAAATGATGAACATTTCAATTCCAGGTGTCTGTTCTTTCCATGACTGTGCCTGCAGCAGTTGCTGCAGTCTGTCTGTGGTAGGGTGTCACTGAAGCTGCCCTGCTCCTTGGATAGGATGACAAGGCCTAGAAGTCACTGGGTCTCTGGGTCCATGTGGAGAACTAGGGCCTGTGACCTCTTGTCCAGATTCTGATTTAGGAGGACACTAATGTCTGCATATTTTTAAAGCACTGAAGCTATTCCTGGTGTTAACCAAGTCCAACCCACTCCCCAAGGCTGAGGGAAGAGCCCTTGAGGAAGCCTCTTCAGCACCCTTACCTGCCCACCTGGTACCCCCATTCCATAGGTGCCAACTCCTCCGCACCTCTCTCCCCACAACAAACATAGTATATGCATCATCTTCCACATTTCCCCTACAGCTTTTGGTAAATGGAAAATTATCCCCTCCACAAAGAAGTTGGGCCCCCTGCCTTAACTGCAATTTTAAGGCCTCTGCTCTCAGCCATTCTTGAAGAGCTTCATAGCACTTCTGAAGGGCCCATCTTTCAGAGGCAGCCAGACTGAGTTTCCGCCTACGTTTAAAGGACCCATCTGGAAGATCGTACCAGGGAGTAATGAAGGGGTGCATAAGGTATCAAGGGGGTAACTGGGCTCTTTTCTGCAGGGAGAGATCCAGAGCTTTAACAAAGATTTCAGAAGGGACCTGTGGCCCACCAAGGTTGAGAAACTGATATAAGGGTCCTAGAGATAGTAATTCAGTTGAGTGCTAGGGGCTAAAATAGTGCTGGGTAAACACAACGGCCTACATGGTAGTCTGGCCATCTGGATCACAGTAAACTGGTAGTAACTTGTGCATTGCCCACAGCTGCTCGGGTGTTTGCTGGTTCCTGGGTGGGCATGGTGGGTCTTCTGTAGTCACCCAGATCTGGCCCTGCCTGCAGATCAGATTTCATGGGGGAGGCAGCTAGAAGCAGACAAGCGGTGGCCATCTCAGGTCAGCAGAACAGAAGCACTTGCCAGAAACAAGCCAGGTGCACTGAACAGTGATTCCAGATTCTGAAATGCCACCTTAATTCTGTATCCCGTGCCAGAGAGGAGAGGATGTGGTGTTGTGGACTACAGGGCAGGGATGGACAGCAAGACAGCCACACCTGCCAGGTCTGGATGGCCTGTCCTGCTGTGGGTGCTGACTCATCTGTTCTGCCACCTTTTACAAAGATGTCACTGACGCGTGGGAAATGCTATTGTGTAACATACCACAATGCTCTCAAACATTAAATAACTACCAATGGAGAGAAAGCAGAGGCCAAGTTAGCTAGGCTCTCTGCTCTGCACGGTCCACATACATGAGTCCTCTGTGTACTATTTCAGTGAATGGATCATGCAGTCGACCTGGTACCTGAGTGTTGGTAACCACCCTGCCTGGTTTCAGGAGCTGTAAACCCCCCCATAGATAAGGCTGAGTGAGCAACCTCCAGAATGCAAGCCACAAGGAGACAGCTTGTCTCTTGGTAGCAAACGCTGCCTCTACTTACTCCCCTGCCCCCAAAGCTTGGTCGGAAGTCAGTGACGGGTAAGACCCCTCAGAGGGGCAACCTAAGCCAGACTCGATCACTTGGGAGACCATCATGGAAGGACTCGGGGGGCTGCAACAAAGAGGGAGTGATGGACCCATGCCCCTGGCTATTCTGACATAGCCAGAGTCCCCATGTCCTCTGGGAGAAGCATTTTTCTGGCTCTAATCCACTTAAACCTGACAACCTGTGATAGGGGAGGCGGTGCTGCCCCTTGCCAGCTAGAGTGGGATCCAGGGTGATCTGGCATAAGAAAGAATTCCTAACAACCCTGTGAAACCTGATTCGCTAAGAATGCTTTTAGTCAAGTGATAAAAGCCCGAGCAGAAAATGAATTTGTTTTCCCAAAATCTTATAGCCCTTTAGCTAATAGACCCTGACTCAGAAGAAGCCCTAATAGTTCTCTGTATGCTATCTACTGTTTACTGCCTGACAATAAGTTGTACCTGAACTCCTGTGCAAAAAGCCCAATAAAAGCCTGTCTAGGCAAGGGTCAGGGTGCTCTCCCCTTGAGAGAGTTGCCAGGCTGCTCCGAGGCGCTCCCCCCTTGAGGGAGTAGCTGTGCCGTCCCTTTTCCTCCACAAGACTTGGTAGTCCATGTGACTTTGATTTTCCATCCATAACGCTGTGGGCACTGCAGGCCAGTGCCCGCCTCCCTCCAATTTCAGAGAAGAGCAAGAGCCCAACTCATCAGGAAATGTGGAGGAGCAGACCGTAGCTAACTTTTCCTATGTCTCTGTCCTTGATACAGTCTCTACTGCCTCCAAAGTAGTGTTCACATCGGGTTCAGCAGCTGTCAGTCTCTGAAGAGGAAGGGCACTCTCTCCTCAGTGCCTCATGGGAACCAGGCAGTGTGCTCAGGGAGCTGTGCACTCACGCCATTGAATCCTGCATGAGCTGCTGTCACTCAGCAGAGCAGATGTGCAGTGCTTCTGTCTGGAAAAACTCACTTGGTTTTGTTTTACAGACTGATTTTATCATTAAGTGCAAGACAGCTTGCTTCTGCCCTCAAACCAGTGAAACACCAGGAATCTTGAACAGTAAAGTGGAAAGTACCTTTGAACTGTCTCTGAAGGCAGGACTACTTCAGAATCATGCTTTTCAAACCTGCCCAGCAGAATTCAAGGATGAAAGGGATGAGCAGGGAAAACCACCTTTGAGGACAGAAAAGAGAAACAAACACTACTACCACTGGTGGCAGATGTTCATATTCAAGCATGGGTTTGGGACTCCACTCCGAGAGCCAAAGGCCAAGCCATTCCTGGGCCAGCTCCCATCTTTGGAGTGCTCCCGCCTGTGCAGGGTGCACCTGTCCTCAGGAAAGTGCTGCATTGCCGTCCACATTGCCACCACTGCAGCAGGCTCCACAGGCCTTTACCCAAACAGTGCTCTCCAGGCAGGGGTGTAGAACTCCAGAGGCACCCAGATGGCTTTAGGTGTAACATGGACATCAAAGAACACTGCATCACTGGTCCTTTTTAGTCCTTTTCCTTGTCCTTGAAGCTACCAGGAGCATCTGTGCACCTGATATTGCCAATCTGCTCACAAGCAGATGGGCTTTAGACACAGCCTTTAGCAGACAGTGGATTTAGCTAGATTTAATGGTTTGGTTTGTGTTATTTTCTATTTATATGGTAGAATACAAAGTTTCTAAAGTTAAGTCTTAGAAAGTATTTTAAAAATGATAAGTAAACATTCAGTGGTATTTGAATATGACTCAAGTGTCATATCTAGGTTGAGACCCTTCTTGTCTGCTTCAAGGTCCACTTCCAGCTCATACCCGTGAGTCAGAACTCAGCAGGCCACTGTCACAACTTGTTGGGGCGACTGCCCTCACAAGTCTCCCCGAGTGCCATGGATGAGGTGTGTAAATATGACTGAGACATGATGTGATCTGCTTGGGGAGAAGTGAGCAGTGGCCAGTTTCGCAGGGGAAAAAGGCCAGCAGCGGCCAGTTTCTCCAAGGAGAAAAAGGCCTTGAGCCCCCTCTACAGCTTTTATTGGGTTGTAATACACAGGAATACAGGGCAGCAAGGATCAAACAGTAGATAACATTTCAAAGAAATCTGAGGGCTTCGAGAGTCTGTCAGGACCAGAGTTTTAGGGTTTCCCGCTCAAACCCTCAACATATGAATGGAAGCACTCAGCAGAGCAGATTTCACAGGTTTATCAGCAAGTCTTTGTGATACCAGATTTTTCCCCAGGACACACTCTAGCAAGGCAAGGAGCTGCACATCTCCCAACAAGTATTTAGGCTTAAGAGGATTAGAGCCAGGAAGTACTTCTCCCAGAGTACATGGAGACTTGGGCTATGTCAAAGCCGGGGGCGGGGGGCACGCAAGAGTCTTGCTTTCTTTGTTGCAGCCCCCCCCCAGTCCTTCCACAAAGGCCTCCCAAGTGATTGAGTCTGGCTTAGGTTGCCCCCCCACTGTGAGGGGTCTTACCCGTCACTAACTTCCGACCAAGCTTTAGGGGCAGGGAGAGGAAACTGAGGCAGCGTTTGCTATCATCAAGCTTTGTCTCCTACAGCTCACATTCCAAAGGTCATCTCTCACCCTTAGCCACAAGGGATGGAGATATAATTCCTAAAACCAGGCAGCTGTCTACAACTGCTCCAAAACCAACCACCTCAGCAACACAGTTCATACTGCCTTGATGGCAGAGTATGCACCTTTCTCTTCCATGTCAGGAGGGAGGAAGACGGTTTCGGAGGACAGTGAAAAACCACCCATCATGTCCATATCCACATTTCAACCATGGGCTCCTGGAATATTCGGGCCATGCTGGGAGCTGAGACAGGTCACCAGATCTAATCCACTCCTTGTCCTCCTACTTCCAGGAAACTTGGGAGCCTTGGAACACCCACACCACAGGCTGCCTTTGGCCATTATTTTGAGTAGCTGTTTAAAATACAAGCTCCATAGGTCCACAATTAGGATGTAATATAACAGTGTAATATGGTAGGAAATTTTTATCACAATTCAGAGAAGCCTGAACAATTGACCCACAATTTCCACTATCAGCTTCAATAATGAGAAAAGTTTCATCCTAAAGTTGAGTGTGAAGTTCATTTATTCAATGAACCTCAACCAGATATTGTTAATAAGTCAGAAAGGTGGACACAGGCATCCTTTCTGGCTATTCTGCTACTGTCACAGCTAACAAATGGGCTGCTTTCACCAAGGAGCAGTCACAGCTGTAGAACCCTTGCCACCTCACTGGGTTTCTGAGTCTCATACTAGAGGACACACGGGATCATGAGAATTTCCCTTTCCCCCTTGGCTGCCCTCTCAGGAAATTCATCTTCTTGGAGTGGTTCCTGGTCCTATGGGCTTTGGGTGGGAGTCAATGAGGAAACTGGGGAATTCCTTTTTGGTACTAAAGCTGGTGTCACTTGGGATATATCATATGATCGATCACATTAGCCTTTTGCTGTGCTGAATGACGTATTGTAGGACCCTAGGAATGGATACAAATAATGCCATCTTAAACTACAGCCTTCTCCCTTTACTACTAGAAGTGGACTCTGCCAAACCAGTTAGGCAAGTGGTCTTGCATAAGTCAAACATGAAAACAACTGGGTCAAGGTGATGTCAGGATGTCTTCTGATGTCAAGATTGAAACATTTTCTAGGAGCTGGCGGAGGCTAAAATTCCAAGGAGGCATGGTTATTCTAGTCTGTAAGAGCTATGACTCTTAACGTTCCATTCATTTATTTCATATTCTCAGCATTAAAACCCAGATCCATATTGACTTTTAAGGGTTAACCCACATAGCTGGAAAGACACCTTTTTTGTTTCCCACTCTTGGCCAGCAGGGGTATTCCAGGGATCTGCAGGACACATGTATCTCCATCTTTCCCACCTGTGAGACAAACATCTAGTAATATACAGCTCTGTATGGCACTAGGAGTTCTTGAATTTCTGCTCCCTCCTGGCCCGGGAGGCCATGAGGCTAAAGAAGAGCCCAGGAGCCAGAGTTCGCAGATATATGGCCAAGGAAGGCAACAGGTCAGCCAGGATCACGTCTTTCTTTTTCTTCACCACAGCAGTCAGAACATCTTGGGCCACCTCCACAGGCATTCGGCCCTCGGCCGTGGTCTTGTCCATAACTAAAATAAACAAAAGAAACACATGAACTTTAAAGCAAAAGTCCCTGTCTTGAGTTGAGTTGCCAAGGACCAGCATTAGGTAGCTCACCAGATTGCCCATCATGAAGCCCCTCCCAGTTAGGAGGCAAGTGGTATGCCACCATCCCTGACTCTCCTGTACTTCAGGAAATGAGGACCCATTCTGTGGCTTAGCATGTGAGTTGGGTAAGAAAAGTGGATAGGACATAGGAACAAGGTAGAAGGAGCCTCGGTCAGTGCTCAGAGCTGGTGTACAAGAAAAGATGAGGATCGGCCCTTGCTGGTATGGCTCAGTGGACTGAGCACCAGCCTGTGAACTAAAAGGTCACTGGTTCAATCCCCAGTTGGAGCATATGCCTGGGTTGTGGGCCAGGTCCCAGTGGTGGGGCGCATGAGAGGCAACCACACATTGATATTTCTCTCCCTTTCCTTCTCTCCCCCTTCCAATTATGTCTAAAAAATAAATGTAAAAAAAAAAAAAAAAAGATGAGGACCGGCCTAGGTAAGGTCTCAGAGCTAGCCCTCACACCACAGCTGAGGAGGGGTTTTCAGACCTTGGGCATTTTTTGCCTTTTAAAACCACTGACTAAGGGATGTTGAACCATCAAATTCAACTTGGGTGGCCTGCCTTAAGTTCTTCAAAGCAGGGGTAAAAGAAGACTATGACACCCACAGGCACTACAAGCTCACTAAAATGAAAGTGAAGAAGTGAGTCAGAAGGGATGTCACACCCTAGGTCGTGTGTTAACTAAATATGGAGGAGAAAATCTTTGGTTGGTTTTGTGTATTAGAGTTGCTCTGGGAGGTTTAGGAGGTGTTAGGCTGGTTAACATCAACCGATGTTTCTTGATCCCTAGTAATCTGACAATTTTCCCAACAAAGCAGGACCAATTGGCAGGCATAGAGGAGAGGCCACTATCATACACCATGAGAAACCAATCGTGGACTTCTGGTCAAGATGGAGGCATGGTAGACACACTTCGTTTCCTTCCTCAGCCACAAAAAGAATTACAACTAAATCTCAAAACAACACCCAAAAACTGTCAGAAAATTGAACTGTATGGAAGTACAACAACCAAGGATTTAAAGAAGCCTCATTCATCAAGACAGTTAGGAGGGGTGGAGACACTGAGATGGAGCAGAGAGGTGGCAAAGGTGGTAGAATGGACATAGGAAGTCCCACATTTACAGGTAGTGGATAAAAATTGGGAGAGATACCTTGGAAGCAAGCAATCCCAGCCCCATGCCGGACTGCACAGCCCAGGGTTCCAATGCTGGGATGGTAATTCCCCATAACTTTTGATTGTAAAAACCAGTGGGGGTTGAGACAGCAGAAGAAACTGCTGGGTTTTGAGGAAACTCTGCTTAAAGGGCCCACACGATCTTAAAAACATTCAGAAACCATTCTGGCAGGTGTGGCTTGGTGGACTGACTGTTGCTGGCCTGCGAGCTAAAGCATCACTGGTTCGATTTCCAGGGCACATGCCTGGGTTGCAGGACAGGTCCCCAGTAGCAGGTATGCAAGAGGCAACCACACATTTATGTATCTCCTTCTCTCTCCCTCCTTTCTCCTCTATAAAAAGAAATAAATAAAATCTTTTTTTTTAAAGTACATAAACCCACCTACTCTCAGATGTAACATCAGGGCAATAGCTGGAAGGGCACTAGTCACATATGGGAAGTGGGTGAAGTAACTGGAAATGGGGCAAGTGCTGGGCAAACCCCCAGAGGCCATGCAGCAGCACAGTCTTCTCCACGCGCCCTCCCAACACACAGAGTTACAAAGTGGTGAAATGGGTTGCCCCACCCTGGTGATAGTACCTAAGTTTCCATCCCACACAATTCACAGGTGTCTTTTACAGGAAGTCAAGCAGCTCTACCTAATACACAGAAATGAAGAGGGAGGCTGCCAAATCTAGGAGACAAAGAAATATGGCCCAAATGAAAGAACAGAACAAAACAGAAAAAGAACTAAATGAAAGGGAGAGAGCCAACCTATCAGATGAAGAATTCAAAACTTTGGTGATCAGGATACTCAAAGAACTCATTGAGTACAGCAACAACATAAAGGAAGAAATGAAAGTTACATTAAGTGAAATAAATATCTACAGGGAACCAACAGCGAAAGGAAAGAAGCTAGGATTTAAATCAACGATTTGGAACAACATAAGGAAGAAATAAACATTCATACAGAACATAAAGAAGAAATAAGAATTAAAAAAAAAACTCACAAGGAGAGTATATGGACCCTCTGAGACATCTCCAAATGTGCCAACACCCAAATAATAGGAATGGCAAAAGGAGAAGAGGAAGAGCAACAAATTGAAAACTTATTTAAAAAAATAATTAAAGAAAACTTCCCTAATTTGGCAAAGGAAATACACATACAAGTCCAGGAAGCAAAGTCCCAAACAAGTTAGACCCATACCAAGACATACCATAATTAAAATGCCAAAGGTTAGCCCTCGCTGGTGTAGCTTAGTGGATTGAGTATGGGCCTGGAAACCACATGATCACAGTTTGATTCCCAGTCAGGGCACATGCCTGGGTTGCAGGCCAGTTCCCAGCAGGGGACTCATGAAAGGCAACCATACGTTGATATTTCTCTCCTTCCCTTCCTCTCTAAAGATAAATAAATAAAATCTTTAAAAAAAATGCCAAAGGTTAAAGATAAATAGAGAATCTTAAAAGCAGTAAGAGAAAAGTAGAGAGCTACCCACAAAGGAGTTCCCATAAGGCTATCAGCTGATTTCTCAAAAGAAACTGCAGGCAAGAAGGGACTGGAAAGAAGTATTCAAAGTGATCAAGGCAAGGCACTGCAAAGCTGGATTACTTTATCCAGCAAAGCTACCATTTAGAATGGAAGGGCAGATAAAGTGCTTCCCAGACAAGGTAAAGGTAAAGGAGCTCATCATCACGAAACCATTATTTCATGAAATGTTAGAGGGACTTATTTAAGAAAAAGATCAGAACTATGAATATTAAAAAGGCAAAAAAATCCACAACTATCAACAACTGAATCTAAAAAGAAAAAAAAGCTAAGGAAACAACCAGAACAGAAACAGAATCATTGGTATGGAGATCATTTAGAGGGTTATCAGTGGGGAAGTGGAAGGAGGATAATGGGGGAAAAGGTACAGGGATTAAAACAGACAAGGGAATGTTAAGAATAGTATAGGAAATGGAGAAGCCAAAGAATTTATATGCATGACCCATGGACATGAACTAATAAGGAGGAGAGGAGTATTGTTGGAGAGAAGAAGGGTACCAGGTAGAAGAGGGCAAAGGGGGAAAATTTGGACAACTATAATAACATATTCAACCCTTTTATAAAATGTCTTCATTTTTATAAAAACATTTTATAAAATAAAAACCCCTTTTGTAAGTTATCTAAACTGCCTGAGTTTCCCACCAGCATGTGTTTTCATCATGTTTTGGTTAACAGGGAAGAATAAGAGGTTTCTGATTGTTGCTTATTTTTAAATGCCACAGAGGAAATTTTTTTTAAAGATTCTGCTAAGTATAAATAATATAAATATGAATCTCTGTGGATCTGTGCCTCTGATTTCTACTGACTTGCCGAGTGAGAAAGCAGCTGCTCCCGGAGGCCTGGGTAGTCTTCGTTCACGCTGGGCTATGGTGGGTATAGCACCAGGAGGCCCCTAGTAAATGGAGAGCACAGGCCCAAGAGATCACATCCAGACAAACAGAAGACAGTAGTACTCAAGGGGTAGGCAGCCCCTATTCGAGCTTGGAAAGGCAAAGCTGGCTTCCATAGCAATAGCACTCAGGGGTCAATCTACCTGACAGGCAGAAACCGACGGGTCTCTGTTTGGCCTGCCTGTGTCCTGGGGCCAGGCAGTTGGACTCATTAGTATGACTGCAGGTCAGCTCAGCACTCTTGTTGGCTGAAGCAAGGAGATTCTGAGACTGGAGCACCCAGCCTAACCCCACAAGACTGGGCTTGTTGCTTTTGAGTACCCTGAAATCAGTTTTTCTCAAGCTTAGTAGGTGTGGAACCATTTGAGTCAAGTACCCCATAGTTTCCATAAGGTTTATTCACATTAACTTTCCTTTAATTCATTGACAGCCTGGCAGCCTTTCTACTTGGGAACTTCCTTTCCAGCCCTCAATTGAAGTCCTGGTCTACAGGGGCTCTGTCCAATAGCTGCAATGGGTGGTTAATGGTAAATGATTAGTCACATATACATAACCAACACTTACAGGTGTTTTCATTTTAAAAATTATATTCAAATAAATGACCAAAGAATGATCAGATAAGAGCACAGTGTCTCACTGTGGCTGACCAACAGCTTTTTATAAAAGAAAAGAGTCCTGACTGGTGTGGCTCAGTGGATTAAGCACTGGCCTGCAAACAAAAGGTCTCTGGTTCAATTCCTAGTCAGGGCACATGCCTGGGTTGTGGGCCAGGTCACTGGTTGGGGGGGTGCATGAGATGCTACAATCCATGTATCTCTTAAACATGAATATTTTTGTCCTCTTTCTTTTCTCCCTTCCCCTCTCTCTAAAATTAAATAAAATCTTAAAAAAAAAAAAAAAAAGAAAGAAAGAAAATGGGCCTCACCTCCATATCTGGAGCCATCAGCAGTGATGGCATTAAGAGACAGGTTGGTGTGGATGTAGCCGGGGCTGATTATGGTCACCTTGATCTCATACTGTTCCATCTCAGCACGAAGACAGTCAAAGAATGCCTGGGTCGCATGTTTGGAAGCTGCATCTGCAAAGGTTGGTGGCCAGAGGCAGGTTAAGTGTGCTGGTGTGAGATGTGGCCTGGGACAATACCAAGTATTCATTCCCATTGATGCTCTTCTTTATTTAGAAAACTGGTTTTAAAATTTAAGATGATAAAATTACAGTATTATAGCAATGTTCATCTCCTTATTTTGAGAAGTACATTTAGTCCTTCTTTTTAGGAAACACCTGAAGTATTTAGGGGGAAAAGAGCAACATGTCTCCAACTTTCTTCAAAGGGTTCAGGAAGGAAAAATTATAAATTTCATATATACACACAGAATATGATAAAGCAAATATGTTTTATGACAATCATGATATAGACAAAATGTTAACAACTGCGGAATCTGCATGGAAGGTACAATAAGACTTCTTTGTATTATTCCTCCAACTTTTCTTTACATCAGAAATTATCCTACTTTAGGAGAATTCTGGCCAAGATGGAGGTGTACATAGATACACTATGCCTCGCTGCACAACCAAAAGAAACACAAGAAATTTAAAAACAAAACATAACCAGAACTGTCAGAAAATCAAACTGTATGGAAGTCCAAAAACTAAGGAGTTAAAAAAGAAACATTCACCCAGACTGGTAGGAGGTGCAGAGACGGGCAGCCAGGACAGTGAGGAGTTGCAGCAAGGCAGCGTCTAGAGGACCAGGCAGTCCCACATTTGCAGACAGATAAACCGGGAGAAAAAACTGGGGAGGGAGACAGACTTCACAACCCACGGTTCCAGAGCAGCAAAAAACAAGCCTCACAACCCCTGACTGAAAATAACCTGTGGGGGTTGTCGTGATGGGAGAAACTCCCAGCCTCACAGGAGAGTTCACTGGAGAGACCCACAGGGTCCTAGAACATAAACAAACCCACCCACCCAGGAATCAGTACCAGAAGGGCCCAATCTGTTTGTGGGTAGTGGGGAAAGTGACTGAAGGTGGGACAAGAGCCAAGCAAGTGGCTTTGTCCCCTCTCAGACCTCTCTTGCACCTACAGAGCCACAACGCAGCAACCTGGGTTGCCCCGCCCAGGCCAATTCCTAAGGCTCTGCCCCTTACTACGTAACAGCTGTGCCAAGACAAAAACATATGACCGAATGAAAGAACAGATCAAAGCTCCAAAAACAGAACTAAGTGATGAAGAGGTAGCCAGCCTATCAGATGCACACTTCAAAACACTGGTAATGAGGATGCTCACAGAAATGGTTGAGTATGGTCGCAGAACAGAGGAAGAAGTGAAGGCTATACAAAGTGAAATAAAGGAACAGGGAACCATCAGTGACAGGAAGGAAACCAGGACTCAAATGATTTGGAGAAGGAAGAAATAAACATTCAACCAGAACAGAATGAAGAAACAAGAATTCAAAAAATATGAGGAGAGCCTTAGGAACCTCTGGGACAACTTTAAACATTCCAACATCCAAATCATAGGGATACCAGAAGAAGAAGAGGAAGAGCAAGAAATGGAAAACTTATTTGAAAACATAATGAAGGAGAACTTCCTCCAGGAAGTCCAGGAAGCTCAGAGAGTCCCCAAAAAGTTGGACCCAAGGAAGCACACACCAAGACACGTCATAATTACATTACCCAAGATCAAAGTGAAGGAGAGAATCCTAAAAGCAGCAAGAGAAAAGGAGACAGTTGCCTACAAAGGAGTTCCCATAAGGCTATCAGTTGACTTCTCAAAAGAAACCTTACAGGCAAGGACCTACATCCAAGATGACTCTACCCAGCAAAGCTATTGTTTAGAATGGAGGGGTTGATAAAGTGCTTCCCAGATAAGGTCAAGTTAAAGGAGTTCATCATCACCAAGCCCTTATTACATGAAATGTTAAAGGGACTTATCTAGGAAAAAGAAGATCAAAAATATGAACAGTAAAATGACAACAAACTCACAACTATCAACAACTGAACCTAAAAAACAAAAATGAACTAAGCATACAACTAGAACAGGAACAGAATCACAGAAATAGAAATCACATGGAGGGTTATCAGTGGAGAGGGGGGAGTGGGAAAATGGAGGAAAAGATACAGGGAACAAGGAGCATAAATGGTAGGTACAAAATAGACAGCAGGAGGTTAAGAACAGTATGGGAAATGGAGAAGCCAAAGAACTTAAATGTACAACCTGTGACATGACCTAAGGGAGGAATGCTAGTGGGAAGGTGGGGTGCAGAGTGGAGGGGAATAAAGGGGAGAAAAAAATGGGATAGCTGTGATAGCATAATCAATAAAATGTACTCTAAAAATTTTTTAAAATTATTCCACTTTAAAAGAAAAAAAACTCTGAGGACTTCCGCCAAGATGGAGGCATAGGTGGAGACCCCATGCTTTTTCACAGAACCAAGTTTAGAGACAACAAAATATTAGCAACATAAAACACAGCCAGAACACAGAAAATTGAAGTTTTTGGAAGTCTGATAACAACGAATTCTTCAGCCTGACCAGTAAGAGGGGCGAAGCCAGCAGCTGGCGGAGCAGGGTTACACAGGAAAACTCGGTCAGACAGACTCAGGCGAGCGGATCCCAGGCGTGGGGTTGCAATGGGCAGACCCAGTGAGTGACCCAGTGAGCAACCAGTGAACCAAGCGAGGGTGCAGGGCAGCGGGTTGACTGTGGTGGCGCATTCCTGCACAGATAGACTGACGAGGGAGAGGATGGTTAGATGGGACCGAGCAGGCCCCAACAGCGGGAGGCGGCAGGGGGGGCCGCCATTTCCCTGCTCTGACCCTGCCCCCACACACAGTGTCACAAACCAGCGACCTGGGTGGCCCCGCCCTGGTGAACACCTAAGGCTCCACTCCTCATACATAACAGGCACAAACAGATCAAAAATGGCTCAAGAAGATCTCAAAGCCCCAGAGCCTATAACTAAGCAACCAAGAAATACCAAAACTTTCAGATGCACAGTTAAAAAAACTGGTGATCAGGATGTTCACAGAACTGGTTGATTTCAGTCACAAATTAGGCGAACAAATGAAGGCTAAACTAATTGAAATGAAGGAATTGTACAGGAAACCAATAGCGATGAAAAGGAAACTGGGACTCAAATCAATAGAGTAGACCAGAAGGAAGAAAGAAACAACAAAACAGAAAAGAATGAAGAAACAAGAATTCAAAAAAATGAGGAGAGGCTTAGGAACCTCCAGGAAGGACATCTTTAAACGCTCCAACATCCGAATTATAGGGGTACCAGAAGGGGGAAAGAAACAGCCACCAGTGGAAAACTTATTTGAACAAATAATAAAGGAGAATTTCCCCAATCTGGCAAAGGCAATAGACTTCCAGGAAATCCAGGAAGCTCAGAGAGTCCCAAAGAAGTTGGACCCAAGAAGAAACACACACCAAGGCACATCGTCATTACATTAGCCAAGATTCAAATGAAGGAGAGAATCCTAGAAGCAGCAAGAGATAAGGGGACAGTCACCTACAAAGGGGTTCCCATCAGACTGTCAGCTGATTTCTCAAAAGAGATCTCGCAGGCAAGAAGGGGCTAGAAAGAAGTATTCCAGGTCATGAAATCCAAAGACTGCTCTATCTAGCAAAGCTTTCATTTAGAATGGAAGGACAGATAAAGTGCTTCTCAGATAAGGTCAAATTCAAGGAGTTCATCATCACCAAGCCCTTATTGTATGAAATGTTAAAGGGACTTATCTAAAAAAAAGAAGATAAAAAAGATGAACAGCAAACTCACAGTTATTAACAACCACACCTAAAACAAAAGCAAACTAAAAGGATAGCTAGATCAGGAGCGAAAACAGAAATGAAGATCTCAAGGAGGGTTAGCAACAGGGGAGTGGGAGGAGGAGAAGGGGGGAGAAGGTACAGAAAATAAGTAGCATAGACGGTAGGTAGAAAATAGATGGGGGAGCAAGAATAGTATGGGAAATACAGAATCTAAAGAACTTGAGACACATAGTCATAAACTAAAGGGGGGGAATGGTGGGGGTGGGGGGTGCAGGGTGTAGGGGAATAAAGGGGGGAATAGAACGACTGTAATGGCATAATCGATAAAAAATAAAAATTAAAAGAAACCTCTAACCACCCCCCCAAAAAAACTACTACTCAATGCCTAATGGGTAAAACATCCAAATAGTGCAGAAGGATATAAAGTAAAGAAGTACAAGTCCTGCATTCCAAGTCCTGAAGAATATCATTCTCCATAGGTAACCAACACTAATGGTGTCTCAGGATTTTTTATATATCCCATGTGCATATGCATATGTGATTTTAATAGAGCTCATACTATTCATATTTTTCCTGCAAGTAGCCTTCACCTAGTGACACCGTCTCAGCTGCCTCCACACAGCCATGCAGACTTACCACACTCCTCCATGAGTCCCCATACTTCAGAACTGGCTCTTCACAGGTTGTTTCCAGGTTTTGTCATCAAAGCTATGTTATTAGTAAGCACCCTTACATGCACAGGAGCATGTATACATAAAATCCAAAACTGGCTCTCGTAATGTATTTTGTTTAACAAACTTCCAGGGTGGCTTTCCATCAGAAAAAGCTACTGAGCTTGCTCCACCTCCAAGAAATGGAGCTAATGTTGTTCTTCAGTGATGGCTCCACAACAGGAGGAAGGGGACACAGTGACCCTACAATATTCCTGGGAAACACGGCATCCACAGTGAAAATCAGTTTCCTCCATTCAGAGTTCTAAGTGTTTCAGTCTTAGGAAAGGGGAATTCACTGGCCAATAAAACAGGAAGGGGAAAACCCCAGGAAGTGTTGCCACAAGTCACATGAGAAATTCAAGTGTCTGAATTTACTACAGCGTCTTTTAGGGCCAGCTTCTTTGGTTTAAGCCACGTTGCAAGGCCACATCAGTAGTCTGTAGGTAGGTCGGTGGGCAGGACTGTTCCTATCAGCATGATTCCAGAAGTGCTGTCCAGGCCCAAGGACTGAGAATAGGGAGTCATCCTGGGGATGCCTAGAATAGAAGGCTGCACCCTGACAATGAGTCTCCCAGAGCTCTCAGGCTGCAGGTCAGCAGCCAGGCTATGGTGACCTACTGATCACCACTGGTGTGACAGTACTCAACCCTCCTACCCACAAGGCATGGTGCTCAATATACTGCCTGGATCACCTGACTTGGTCCTCACCACAGTAGTATGGGGGAGATAAAACTGCTCTTCCATTTTATGAGGTGATGCCAACACTCACCACTGTGCTCAGAAGGCACTGCCACATTCAAGCTGGTCATCATAAAGTGCCCAGACCAACCGATGTGATTTACTTTAGTCACAAGCTAAGTGGAGAACAAAACTCAGATTAAATCAAAGTTTTGAAATAGTTTCATACCAAGAACATGATATATCTTTTACCCTGGCTTACCTATAATTAACAATTTACTTCATTTGCTTTATCATTGGTGATCATATATATGTATGTGTGTGTGTGTGTGTGTGTGTATATACACACACACACACACACACATATATATATTTCAGAACCATTTCAGCTGCCTTAGATGGCTGTCCATAGGAACAGATATACATACAATGCTTCATAATTTACAAAGGATGTTTTTTTAAGATTTTAAAAAATTTACTTTTTTAGACAGAGTGGGAGAGAGGGAGAAAGAGAGAGAGAGAGAAACATAAATGTGCAAGAGATACAATGACTGGCAGCCTTTCTCACACCCCCTAACTGGGGACCTGGCCCACAACTCAGGGATGTGCCCTGGCTAGGAATCAAACTGCCAACCTTTTGGTTCATAGGATGACACTCAATCTACTGCCACACCAGCCAGGGCTACAGAGGACTTTTCATCTTCATTTGTCTCATTTCATCTTTAAAACAGCTTTATGAAGTATGTTAAGATGACTGTAAGACTCATTTCTTAAGAAAGGATGGCCCTGACTGGTGTAGCTCAGTGGATTGAGCTCAGGCCTGTGAACCACACGATCGTGGTTCGATTCCCAGTCAGGGCACATGCCTGGGTTGCAGGCCAGTTCCCAGCAGGGGACACACAAGAGGCAACCATACATTGATATTTCTCTCCCTCTCTCCTTCCCTTCCCCTCTAAAGATAAATAAATAAAATCTTAAAAAAAAAAAGAAAGGAAACAGAGGGTCAGACAAATTAACTTGCCTGAGAATCTACAACTAGAACCAAAATGTACAGATGGGCTCAGAAAGAAAAAGTTTCTGTGACATTTCCAGGTCAGACAGCTGATGTCTGTCCCATTCTCTCAAAGTGCTGAAGCAGATCTGCCCTCCCTGCCTTCTCTGCCAAGTCTGCTGGGCGTGGCTAAGTCAAGCATTTGGAAGTGGTGAGAGCTCGAGTTGGCTCTAAATATTTACTTCCAAAGGCTGGAGCAAAGAACAGCAGTAAGACAGTCTGTGAAATTACCTTTAAAATTTCTTGAGAAAATTAGATTCTGTTTGCTTGCAGAGAGATGAATGAAACGATATCTCAAATTTTTGGCACAACCACTCACGTACATGGAGATAAAGTGTGACTTACAAGTCAATGTGGCAGTTTTAATTATTTGATCCTACCTATTTCTGTTGTGGACCACTCTGCCTGGTTTCAGGAATTGTAACCCTAACCTCGCCCCCCCACTCCCCCACCGCTAAGACTATGAGTGTCCTCCAGAATGTGAGCCACAGGAGACAAAGCTTGTCTCTCGTAGCAAATGCTGCTTCACTGCCCCCAAAGCTTGGTTGGAAGTCCGTGCAAGGGTAAGTCTCCTCACAGGGGGGAGCAACCTAAGCCAGACTCAATCACTTGGGAGGCCATGGTGGAAGGACTCAGAGGGCTGCAACAAAGAGTGAGCAATAGACCCGTGCCCCCAGGCTATGTGACATAGCCCGCCGAGTCCCCATGTTCTCTGGGAGAAGTACTTCCAGGCTCTAATCCCCTTAAGTATGGATACCTGATAGGGAGAGGTACAGCTCCTTGCCTTGCTCGAGCTTGTCCTGGGGAAAAATCTGGCATCACAAAGACTTCCTGATAAATCTGTGAAATCTGCTCTGCTAAGAGTGCTTTCATTCATGTTAAGGGTTCGAGCAGGAAATCCTAAAACTCCCTTCGTGACAGACTCTGACTCAGACTAAGCCCTCAGATTTCTTTGAAATGTTATCTATTGTTTGATCCTTGCTGCCCTGTATTCCTATGTATTACAACCCAATAAAAGCCCTTAGAAGAAGGGGCTCAATGCCTTTTTCCCCTGAGAAACTGGCCACCTCTCCTCCCCAAGCAGATCATGTCATGTCCTGTTTACGTTCATCTGTGGTGGACTGGGGAACTTGCGAGGAAAGTAGCCCCAATATATTTCAACTTTTGGGAATTTATTTTACTAAAGCCCTCCTATGAGTGCCTAGACATATAAACAGTTAAGAATATTCTATGTAGTACATAACTGTTAACTGAAGAGAAAAAAATCCTCAAGTGTCCAGGAAAATGGCTGAATAAATTATGTCATATATCCATTCAATAAATTACTATATATCCACTTAAAAGATTAGGTAAATCCATATATATTGATGTAGAAAAATAAAATGCCAGTGAAACAAGCAAGCCACAAAACAGTATGTAATGTGACCCTATTTTTTGTATGTTTGATCATATGTAGAAAAAGGTTGGAGGCATACACCCAGAGTGATATGAAGTGATAGTACCTGAGGGCAATGGTAATCAATAATTGCAACTAACACAGGCATGGTGCTTATGCCTGGCGCTGCTCTAAGCACTTCACTCAACAGAGCCTGTCTCCATTTGGCACATGAGGACTGGGGTGTCAGAGTGGTTGGGACACTTGTACAAGGTTGCAAATAGGGGGTAAGGAGTAGACCTGGGACTTGAATCTGGGCATTCTCCGCTCAGGAGAACACATTCTGATGAAGTTCCTTCATATTCTGTATTGAGTATTTCTCTAATATCTGTATTCTGGATAGAAAATGTGGTAGAGTTCTATAATCAAGAAAAAACAAAAAGAACATTTGGGGGAGGGAGAAGGAAGTACTCACATGCTGATCGAAAAGGAATGCTGATTTTGCCCTGGATGCTGCTGATTGCAACGATGTGGCCCTGTCGCCTTTTGATCATGGAGGGCAGGAGTGCTAAGGAAAAAAGTCAGAGACTTTACAAGAGGATTTTCCTTCTGGTCACTGTACCCAATGCTGAGAGGGGGTGGCCTCACTTATTAGAGTTCATCGGATCAAAGGAGGTGAATGCTGAAAGCCTTCCATGGCGAGGCCCATGTTTTGTTGGAACTTTTAAGCCTCCTGTGCCTGGCAGACTTCCAGCTGGGAGGTAGAGGGGAGGAGGGGGGAGGAGAAGACAAGAGAGTGGCAGACAGAGGCCTAATCACTAATGGCCAGCTCAGTTTTCTGGAGAGCTCTTCCATGGAGGGAAATTGTGTCTGGACATAAGAGAATCTCTACTTTGTAGGGGTTTACCCACGACAGTAAGAGGAAATAGAGGCAATGCTGTACAAAGGTAGCTGTCACTGAAGACAGCATCTTGATTTAAGGCTAGAAAGCAGATAGAGAAAATGCAAATAAAAATCTGGAAGAAGCCAGCACCCAAGCTGTAAACAACAGCACCTTTTCCAGGGTAAAACAGGATGAGGACAGGTAACATTCAGCTAACAAGGAACCAAGTGATGTGAAAAACAACAAAACCCTCCTAACACATCGGTGTTCTTTTTTCTTTCATCTAAGACTCACCTTTTGTTAGAGCTACTGGGCCAAAGTAGTTTGTCTCCATGACTCTCTTGTCCACATCCGTGGTGGTGTCTAGGATGGCGCCGCGGTAGCTGACCCCAGCATTGTTGATGAGCACATCGACATAACCAAAGCACTGCAGGATCTCAGCTGTTGCTGCAACGACAGCCCCAGGGTCCGTGAGGTCAAAGGTCACTGTGAAAGGCCTGTGTGTCTGCACCTGGTCAGATATGACAGAAACAAAACATACCTTCAGAATGACAGGCCATGTGAGCCACATGTCCCTGCTGTTCAGAGTTAGAGTGGCCCACTGGGCATGAAATGGTATAGGCTGAAGCACCTTTCTTCTAAAGAGATGTGGCCTGGGGGATCCTGCCTACAGTGATTGCATCTGATTTGGGCAACTTTTCTACTGAATGGACAATTATTATTAGAGCCAGACAGTAAGTTCCACAGGACAGGGATCACACAGGATATAGGTTACTGTGCAGATTACCATGAGAGCTATTAATCATGGCTCCTTTACACCAACCAGCATTTGCTGTATATTGTAACTAGTGAAGTAGTGACTCTGCTGAGAGAGACTATTCTTCTCAGGTTAGGTCATTTTAATTTTTTGTTCATGAAACATTTTCTATATATCCCTATGTGCCAGACACTGGGAACATGGCAGAAAATAAGACAGATAGGGTTCTTTTCCTCCTAAAGCATACAGCCTAGTGGGGAAGACAGACAAACTGTAAAGAATGCCACAAAAAAAGTGTAAGAGACCAGAGAAATGAATAATTGAGCAATCTAACTTAGAGGACTTTTTAAGTGAGTTAAACAAGAGATCAAAAAGATGTGAAATCAGAGAGGATGGCAAAGTAGGAAGTGCCAAGAATCCATCTTTCAACCTGGACAGTTGTACTGATAGAAGCTCCCTGAAATCGTACTTCAGTACTCATGCTTAATTTGTTCCAAATCTTGTGAAGAGTGCCAAAACTGACGAGTACAGAACTGTTCATGAGCTACCATGAGACTGACACCTCTACCACTATTTCATCATGAGTGAGGAACACTGAGTAGTGAGCAAGCGCCAACTGCTGAAATATTTTTTCTCATCAAAATGCAACAAGTACAGTGTTTGATGAGTTTTGAAGCTGATAAGTACTGAGGTATGACTGTATTTTGGAACTTTGGAATCTATATGAATGTTTGCAGCTTTCAGGAGAGTACTGGGCTGGTAAATTATAGATAATTTTGGTCATTTTTAGCAATCAGCTCAGTGGTGGCTATCCATCCCCAATCCACCTGGCCCTGTGGCAGTCAGCTGTGGGGAAGACAGTTGAACACTTCTGGTGCAGCCTGAGGGAGCCAAGATAGAAAATAAGACCTTGTCTTCCAAATATCTGGGTATTATTCTGATGGCAGGTTACTGGTCTGAGCACCAAGGTGCAACATAGAGACAGATTGGTGTCTTTTAACCAACACTAAACAGAAGTGGCTTCCAGTACATTTAAAGAAGTCACATGTTTTCTTTGGTGTTACAAAATATATATATAAATTCCCAAAAAACATACCTGAGAAAGCCCAAATGATAGGCTTCTTACTAAACAAAGACTTTGAGACAACTGTCTTAAAGATGCTGAAAATACTAAAAGAAAACATGGACAAACACAGAAATTGATGTATGAGTATAAATAAAATGAAAATATAAAAGTATGGGAAATATAGAATCTAAAGAACTTGAGACATGTGGTCATAAACTAAAGGGAGGGGGACTTCCGCCAAGATGGAGGATTAAGGTGGATGTGCCTGCCTCCTCTCACAACCAAGTTTAAGGACAACTAAATATTAGCATCGGAAAACACAACCAGAACACGGAAAACTGAACTTTTCGGAAGTCCGCAAACAACAAATTCTCCGGCCCGGCCGGTAAGAGGCAAACCGGCGGCGGCGGGTTGAGGAGTTGCAAAGGAGAACTCGTTCGACCCGGGCGCGGGCGCCGCAGACAGCAAATTCTCCGGCCCGGCCGGTAAGAGGCAAACCGGCGGCGGCGGGTTGAGGAGTTGCAAAGGAGAACTCGTTCGACCCAGGCGCGGGCGCGGGACCCAGACGCGCGACTTTTCGGAGGTCCGCAGACAGCAAATTCTCCGGCCCGGCCGGTAAGAGGCAAACCGGCGGCGGCGGGTTGAGGAGTTACAAAGGAGAACTTGTTCGACCCGGCGCGGGCGCGGAACCCAGACGCGCGAATCCAGACGCACGGGTTCCAAACCCAGGATTGGACCTAGTGAGCAGCCCACCGGGTGAGTGACTACGGAGGAGTCAGTGGGGAGGCGGTGGCAGCGAGTTGACTGTGGGTGCCCGGTTACGCGCGGGTGAGGGAGTGAGCGGGGTACCGGCTGCGGCGGCGCCATTTTCCCCGCTCTGACCACGCCCCCACATACAGCGTCACAACCCAGCGACCTGGGACTCCAAGGCGCCGCTTCTCTCACTTAAAGGGCCAGAACAGACCAAAAATGTCGCAGGGGGACCTCAAAGTCCCAGAGATAAATCTAAGTGACGAAGAAATAGCAAATCTCTCAGACGCACAGTTTAAAACACTGGTCGTCAGCTTCCTCACAGATCTGGTGGACTATAGCCACAAATTAGAGAAACATATGAAGGCTAAATTAAGGGAAATGAATGGAATTCCACAGGAAACCCATAGAGATGAAAAAAAAACTGGGACTCAACTCAATGGAGTAAACCAGAAGGAAGAAAAAAATGATCAATCAGAAAGGAATGAAGAAATAAGAATTCAGAAAAATGAGGAGAAGCTTAGGAACTTCCAGGACATCTATAAACGCTCCAATATCCGAATTATAGGGGTACCAGAAGGGGGAAAGACACAACCACCAGTGGAAAAACTATTTGAACAAATAATAAAAGAAAATTTCCCCAATCTGGCAAAGGAAACAGACTTCCAAGAAATCCAAGAAGCCCAGAGAGTACCAAAAAAGTTGGACTCAAGAAGGAACACACCAAGGCATATCATAATTACATTAGCCAAAATTAAAACGAAGGAGAGAATCCTGGAAGCAGCAAGAGCTAAGGGGACAATCACCTACAAAGGAGTCCCCATCAGGCTGTCAGCAGATTTCTCAAAAGAGACCTTACAGGCAAGAAGGGGCTGGAAAGAAATATTCCAAGTCATGAAAACTAAAGACCTACAACCAAGATTGCTCTACCCAGCAAAACTTTCATTTAGAACGGAAGGACAGATAAGGTGCTTCTCAGATAAGACCAAATTCAAGGAGTTCATCATCACCAAGCCCTTATTATATGAAATGTTAAAGGGACTTATCTAAGAAAAAGAAGTTAAAGAAACATGAACAGTGAAAGGACAACAAGCTCACAGTTATCAACAACCACACCTAAAACGAAAGCAAACTAAAAGGACAGCTAGATCAGGAGTGGAAACATAGAAATGAAGAGCTCAAGTAGGGTTAGCAACAGGGGAGTGGGAGTAGAAGACAGGGAGAGAAGGTACAGAAAACAAGTAGCATAGACAGTAGATAGAAAATAGATGGGGGGGGCAAGAATAGTATGGGAAATACAGAACCTAAAGGACTTGAGACACATGGACATAAGCTAAAGGGGGGGTAATCGGGGGGTTGGGGGGGCAGGGTGGAGGGGAATGAAGGGGGGAATAGAACAACTGTAACAGCATAAACAATTCAAAAAAATAAAAAATAAAAAAAATAAATAAATTAAAAAAAAAATAAAAAAAAAATAAACTAAAGGGAGGGAATGGTGGGAGAGGGGGTGTGCAGGGGAATGAATGAAGGAGGGAATATAACTGTAATGGCATAATTAATAAAATATATTTTTAAAAAGCATATGAATCATAAAAAATAAAGCTGCAGCCATACAATAAAAAAAAAGAAATAAAATTATTTTTAAAATCCTGGAACTCAGAAGTACAATGAACAAAATGAAAAATACACTGCTTAGAAGTCAGCCACCTTTTATGGGGTATAGAGTTCTGGGCAGACTCAGAGAATGTCAGTGATTAAGTTACGTGGCTTCGGAGCAGGGGTCATTCTTCCCACTTATTCAAGAAATTAACTGGTACTTCCTCCTCATGAAAGACCCTCTAGCCCCACCTTCTGAGCTTCAAATGGACTGACCCATCTGGCTCCTAGTGGCTCCGCCCTGCCAAGGGCTGAGCAGAATCTGGGACTAAGTTGTTTGGCTGTGGGGCAGGGGCTACAGTTCCTACCTTCCATAAAGCTTGACCAGAACATCCACCACGTTGGAGATCCATTAGCCCCATCCTGCCTCTCACAGAGACCCTACCAGTGCTGAGTTCAGGTTCTACCTGGCAGAACCCAGGATAGACTTGGGTTGTGTGGCTCTGGGACAGGGGCCATTTCCCCCTCACATGCCCAAGCAGGGCAAAGCCCTTCTTTCACAGGGCCAAATCTTGGTCTGCTTGAGTTGGATAAACTCTGCTGGCCTTGCCCTGATGACTCCCTGGGACTCCACCACAAAGGTGTGTAAGCACCCAGCACAAAGGTGTGCAAGCACCCAGCAGGTGGCAGACAGACTTGGTATCCCCTGGGAATTTTGCTGAGTGGCCTCAGACCCAGAACTGGCACTGAGTTTGAACCTGTATCAGTCTAGTGAACACCACTCACTTCTGGACTAAGGACCTACCTAGTGCAACTTGAGTACTGCCAGACGCTCTTTCAATGACTGAGTCTAATGGGCACCCAGTAGGCAGAGACAGGCAGAGGCATATCTCAGGGAGCTTGAGACTCTGGCTGACCAGTCCTTGGGCTCAGTGCTGGTAAAAGCTGGCATTGGGGCACAGGTTGAACCTTCCCATGCACACCAAAGCTCAGCAAAAATAGCCATAAACTGGGGATGGATTTGTAGCTACAAACAGGTTGCTAGGGGCAGTAACAGGCAGCATCAGACATTGGTCTGCACCAAAGTCCCTCCTGAGAAGGCCAGAACCAACACGCACAGACATCAGAGAAGGATCCAATAAACGCCACAAGTGGCATATCCAAAGGGAGATCTTGGGAGGCACGAGACCATGCTGAGGTGAATTCTGCATCATGTGGAAAGTACCAGCAGAGCAGCCTACACACTATGGTCAAGGTTAAGCCTCACAGCCAGCAAGCTTGAGGGTTGATCCCAGCATGTATGGGCCAACAGCAATCAAGACTCAATTACAACAACAGAGCC